CTCCTAAATCACTCGTACGCACAATTTAAGAACAAATCTGTGTGTACGAACGGTTCTTGCATGAGGGCCAATGCTCCTAAGTTTGTTATTGTTTATGTTCAGACTGAAGGTCTTTTGACTCAGTCCTGCTGACCGTGGAGCTAAAAGGAGTCAGATTTGGAATAAAGGGTTTAGAAGAGAATCAACTRGTTTCCCATGATTTTATTCAGACTTCCATTTATTGATCATGTATTTCTTAGCAACACAGTAGCTTAATCTTAACTTTTTATTTTAAATAAATACCTTTAAAGAGGAACTATGATGGGCGTCCTAGAACAAGTTAGGATACATCTGTGGGCTATACAAAACATGTTCATTTAATTTAATTCACAAAAAGAGTAATGTTCAACTGAACCACAGCTATTTGTTATAATAGTGAAAGTGAAATAACAGCCATTATTTTTTATTTCTGTAGCTATTTATTTGTTACATTATTTTTCAGCCACTTTATAATTACACACTTTTTAGGTTAATAAAGTAATTGTGATAATAATCGAGATTGGACGATATTGTATCATTTTTTGTTGCCATATAGCCCAGCCCTATCACCTACCTAATGCTGTGTTCACACCAAATGCGTTTGGAGCCTCAGGTTTATTTGTAAAGTCGATGATGGACGCACGTCAAGGAGCGTCAGGAAATGTTTCGGCACTTTTCAAGAGTTTTACATGCATTGAACCCTGGAGCTGGAAAAGCTGAGYTTTTACAGCTGGACGTGGAGCATCAACCACTCAGAGAGAAGTGTGACGTAGCGACAYATTTTCTGATGGGACGGTCTCCTGAATGATGTACACTAACCTGAGACAGACAGGTACTTTCCAGCTGAAATCGACCGCCTGCAGTCCGTGTCCTGACAGAATATATCGGCACCAATKTGGGTCAGTGGCTCATCAAACTGGACTCGGGACAAAATTTGTTCTGAAAACGAGYCTCGCAGCTCCTGGGTGGTGAAACCCACCAAACTCAGAACGTCTCTGAATTATCTGGTGAATTAATTATGAATTAATTATCTGGTGAGGGTGAYAGGCTCTCGCTCTCAGTAAATAAAGCAAAGCCACTTTCTTTATTTCATCCACCATAAAACAGAGACTGACAGAGGAAAACAAGCAACAGGCTTTTGATGTGTGTCTGACCTCAAAGCGTCCAAACTGAGGTGTTGGATGCGTTTTTGAAGCTCAAATTGCATTTGGTGTGAACGCAGCATTATAGATCCAGACTACCCCTCCCTCCCTCTTACTTTTGTAATCTGCCTCCTGTGTCTGTTTGTCGCCAACCACTGGCCTTTGACATTCTCAGTAACCCCGATACATAAAGATAAACTGAAAGCTTGAATAAAATCGCAAACCTTCAATGCAACATTATGACAGAAAATGTACCTATTTCAAAAAAGCCCACTCAAAAAAAGCCCACTTCATAACACTGAGAACTCCTCGTTAACATTAGTTAAGACATATTTTGTCCTGAACCTCGAGGTAAGCTGAACTTGAATCGTAGGATAAGGAACCTGTGTGAAAGTCAGAAATTAAGCCGTTCATCTCACCTGGATGTAGCAGATCTCTGCTTTGTCATCAGCAGGCTTGATATTTGTGATGACAGACAGAGACTTGAGATCACTGGACAGACTCAGACTGTGACACGTTCCTGGCACCTGTGAAATCACAGTTTGTGTTGTGTACCGAGTCATTTTCTACACTCTAAACTGTAGCATTAGTTTTGTCATTAGAATGTTTTTAATGTTAAYATTTTCCAGTAACAAGTTCTTATGCTTTCACATAACACAATGTGATTAAAATGGTCTCTCCGTCACTTAGTAATAAATGAGTTTCAAAAGACAAGTAAAAAACTCATATGAGTGAATAAAGCAATCTTACTCCGTCTAAAGTTGCAATCTTGTACATCCCGTAAGCATAAAGCTCCACAAAGCTGCCTTCTCCTCCCAGAACAAGTATGTTCAGTCTGTGTGGAAAAATAAACAGAGTAAAATTACTTCCCAACCTATTTAATACAAAACAGGACTGATATCATTGTTTTTATATGTTGCTTTAAGAGTAAACATAATTTACCTAACATCTCCAAACAGGTTGAGTATCTCATCAGACTTCTCCTCACTGCAACAGAGACGGAGCAAAAACAGGAGTGTTAAAATTTCTGTGTTAAACTTTTGGGTGTTGATTTAACACCCCCTAGTGTTCTTTTAACACTTTCTGAGTAAACTGACACCCAGTGTTGTTGTTAATTCACAGTGTTAATTTCCTCTGTGTTGTCTCAACACTGAACAGTGTTAAATAAGCTCTGCCCACTGTGCAGTGTTGAAAGAAGTATTCTGAAAAGCCCCGCCCTCTTCCACCTCATGTCAGACAGACCAGTATTTTCACAGCAAGGAATGCTGGGTAATCTTGCAGAAATGATGTGTTTGCATGTTTATGAATATTAAAAAAGTCCATGAGAGTAAAAATAGTTCTGGTTAGTTTTCTTGTTCAGGTTTATCAGTTGATCAAGTTTAAGTCTGTGTTATTGGCCATAAATCGACACAATGAGTGAGAGGTACTTCCTGGTGTGTGAAGGGTGACTCCATTATACTTTACTATTAACTACTGAGTAGTGATGATGCATCACTTCAGAGTGTTTGATTTTAACTCTGAGTTAGGGATGCAAACAATTAATCGACTTACAATTAATTGTTGAATAATAATTTATTAGATTAAAATTTCTTCCATTTGAATAATTGAAAACAGCTGTTTAAACCTTATTTCAGTGTAGTTTTGACTTCAGCCAGTAGAGGGCGCCGCTGCTCTATCAGACTGGCCTTACTACGTTGAGCTGAGCAGGCCGCCTCCATGTGGGCGGCATCATAATTAAACGTGCAAATCTTGTTTAGTTTTATTTGTGATGCAACAATTATAATGGTCTACACCAAACTGGAAGGAAAAATACCGAAGGCTGTACCGGAYCATCCAGCAGTATGACGCTTAGAGAGCAGGACGACAGAGAGAACGGTACGCTAACTTTAGCTACTTCTTGTAGAGTTTAACTCTGTGTGAAGAAACAAAAAAAGTTGTCACTATAAATAATTAACGTGAAGTGAATCTAATCTGTGTGACATAACCCGGCCAGTGGACAAATCAAATGAACAGTAACAGATGACAAATCATGCAGCAGCGTGAACCAYAGGGAATGTAAACAAAYACAGTTCCAGTACTCATTTGTCTGTTTACCCCTCTCAGGTCATGTTTATAGTTWGTTTTTGAGTAAATCTTTAGATTAAAATGTTACCCTGTATYTAAATGTTAGTTTTACATTTCTCTGTTCAGGGTGGATTAAGYGTTTTACTTCTTTTTTCTTTCCTTTTTTTCAATTAGCAACCTAACAGATTCCTGTTTTGTTATATTTTATAAATATGTCCAAGTTTAATAATGTGAGAAATCCACTATTTTCTGTTTATTCAGTTAGGTTTAATACAGCTTGCGCAATAAATTTTATAAAATACTGTACTTTTTTATTTAGTGTAAAAAAATTAGCCCTTCACGTCATAGAAAGACCCTTGATTCAAGAGAAATGTCAGGTTTTTAGGAAAATTGCCGCTTATCAATTAATCGTTAGTCGATCGATAAGATCAATCAACTTTAGATTAATCCATTAATCGATAACTTGCATCTCTACTSTGAGTGTTAAATTTACACTATTGACACCTTGTGGTGTTAGTTAACCTTTCGAACACCACAAATCCTTACACTGGTGTTACATTTATTTAACACTGTTGAAATGTTAATGTGATGCCCAGTATTGTTGAAGATTAAACACTGGTTGGTTTTAAATTAACAAAAAAAGCGTGTTCAGATTTAACACTTTCACAAATGTTATTTTAACACCAGTGAGCGTGGACACATAAAGACATTGTTGGTGTTGAAATTAACACTATGGGTGTTAAAATAACACTGGCCTTTTTGCTGTGATTTATTTTTGTATATTTAATGACCCTCTAGTAATTAAAACGTTTCTTACCTGAAAATCTTTGAAGTTGTGCTGTAGCTGTAAAAGAAAGGTTTAGACAAAAGTTTTAGTTAAACAAAAACTTGTCTTTTTTTGTAATTTTGAAGTTAAATTAACGCCAATATTACCTTTTGGGAAGTGTTGGAAGTTTGGGGAGGAAAAGTTTGGATTCGTCCTCTGAGCTGTAAAAGGAGCTGAGGRCACTGAAACACAGAACATCGTGTGCATATTTCTCAACAAAATTAGACACAATCTCATGTGCTTCCAGAACATCTTGTTTACCTGCTTTCATCCATCACCTCCATCCAGTTCATGCAAGTCACAGGACTTTGCATCGGAAACATGTGGAGGATCTCTGCTTTCTCAACACCACAAAGGACCACCTGTTTGGTGTCACTGAGACTGAAGGCTAATACTGGGATTAAAATAAATCAATTCTGAGATTCTGTTTATCAAAAGAAACACAGGTGTTGAACACGTTCATGGTTAGTCCTTACTTTTGCCATCAGGTCTCCAAACGAGGGCAGTGATCTCCTTTCCAGTACATTCACTGGGTGGTAAGCTCCAAACACGCTGGAAGCTAGCCAAGCGATGTAGTAGCAACTACAAAAATACATAATTACCAAAATAATAAGAAGAAGCTCATATAATAAGACTTTATTAATCTTAGGGGATTTAAAGCAGTGGTCCTCAAACTGTGGTGACAGAGACCTCTGACAGGRAGGAGGGACTTTACATTCAGTCCTGCAGAGCTTGTATTTTTGGGGTTGAAAATACTTCTTCCAAAAGAGGCTGCAGCACGAACAGTTTGAGAACCACTGGTGCTAGACCCACCTCTCCATTAGTGTTGGCGAGAGCAATCAGATCCCTCTTTGGAGACCACGCCATGCAAACTACAGGGTTTGGAAGCTGCTTCTCTCCCACTTGCCGGAAGGCGGGCATGATGTTGGCTGAAAATATATATAAAAAAATTTTAATTTTCAGTGAATTGCAAATAATGAAAATATCTTACTTATTAATACTTGTTTTTTTTTACTGTAA